CACAGCAACCTTCAACTCCTGGGCTCAAGCAAGTCTCCTGCCTCAGCCTTCCAAGTAGCTGGGACCACAGGCACCTGCCACAATGCCCAGCTAATTTTTGGTTGCAGCTGTCATTGTTGTTTGGCAGGCCCTTGCTGGATTCAAACCCGCCACCTTAGGTGTATGCCACTTGAGCCACAGGCCCCGAGCCTGAATCATTTATTCTGCTGCATTGATCTCTACATCTGTACTCATGCCAGTAACACAGTTCTTGATGACTGTAGCTTTGTAGTAAGTTTTGAAATTGAGAAGTGTGAATTCTTCAACTTTGTTTTTTGTCAGAATTATTTTGGGCTTTGGAGGTCTTTTTCATTTCCCTATATTTTTAGAATCAGCTTGTCAATTTCTATAACAAAAAATCAACTAGGATTTAGAATCTCTTAAGTCATTTTGGGGAGTATTGATGTCTTAACGATAGCAAGATCTGGGAGCATGAGATGTCTGTCTGTTCATGTTCTCTAACATTTTTTAACAATGTTGTTTTGAGTGTACTAGGTTTTTATTTCTTCTAAATTATCATTTTTTGATGCTATTGTAAATTAAATTATTTTTTCAGTTTTGTTTTGGTTCATTAGTGATAGGTAGAAATGCAGTTGATTTTTCTATACTGATCTTGTGTCCTGCAACTTTGCCAAACTTCTTAATTGGTTTTGATAGTCTTTTGGTTGATTCCTTAACGTTTCCTATATGCAAGATCATATCATTTGCTGATAGATAGTTTTGTTTCTTGTCTTCCCACCTGAATGCTGTTTCTTTTTCTTACCTAATTGCCCAAATTACTTGGTTGACTGAAAAAAGTTGTTGGCATCCAGTACAATGTCAAATAAAAATGATGAGAGTGGACATCCTTGCCTTGTTCCTGATCTTTCAGTCTTTCACCAGTGAGCATAACATTAGCGGTGGGTTTTTCGTGGATGCCCTTTATCAGGTAGAGAAGTTGAGTATTTTGATCACAAAAGGTGTTAGCTTTTGTCAAATGCTTTTTCTCTGATTATTGGCATGATCATGTAGCTTTTGTTTTATTTACATTTATGCCCCTTTCTATTCTTGATTTTGAAGTAAGTGCCATCATTACAGAGGTTGAAGGTAGACATTAATGGTAATCAGTATTTGGATAAATGGCAGAAGTCTTGGGAATGGTTAAGATTATCTAGAGAGAGAGTATAGAAAGAGAAAAAGACCAAAGATGGAACTTTGAGAAATATAAATGATCTATCATGTGCAGTCCTAAATTTAATTTAATTTGAATTAATAAATTTCATGAAAACTTGACCTAAAGATGCAGGTTGTGATTTTTGCTTTGCCATGTAATCATGCTACTATCTGCACCTGCTGATGTGTCTTAAGAATCTCTAGTAACATTGGAAGTTTTTATTACCTTAATTTAATTGCATTTGTATGAGCCAAACCCTGGAGAGTAGGAGTGTGTAAGGTGAAGGCAAAGGAAGAACCAGTGTGATTTTTTTTTTTTTCTTGAAGTGAACATGCACATGGCAAGTAAATAGTAGAAATGTAAACTTTGTGAACACTGCTCATCCATAAATTGATTCTTTTAACACTACTCTTAGATGTTGGCATTTACCTTTTTGCCACTAGAATGTATGTTACTGTGAAAATAGAAAAAAAAATTCAATTTATAGGAAATTTCTTTCGTATCATTAATTGGTATTCCTTTGTAAGGAACCCAGAGCAGGCACAATAATATGCAACCATAGATCTCTGACTGTGTGCTGAGAACTAGAACTAGGCAGTACTTTCATTCATTTTTGCTTTGTGCTTCTTACTTGAACTGTGGCTGCTTATACTGTCTCTTCTAATTTCATGATCACTACTACAATGAGAAAACTCTAACTTTAAGGCATTAAAAATTAATAATGGGGCTCGGCGCCTATAGCTCAACCGGCTAAGGCGCCAGCCACGTACACCTAAGGTGGTGGGTTCGAATCCCCAGCCTGGACCCGCCAAACAACAATGATGGCTGCAACCAAAAAGTAGCCGGGCGTTGTGGCGGGCGCCTGTGGTCCCAGCTACTTGGGAGGCAGAGGCAAGAGACTCGCTTGAGCCCAGGAGTTGGAGGTTGCTGTGAGCTGTAATGCCATGGCACCCTACCCAGGGGGACAGCTTGAGGCTCTGTCTCAAAAAAAAAAAAAAAAAAAAAATTAATAATGGTCAAATTAGCTTGTTGGTGAGACTGCTTGTTAGATTCCTGCAAGAAAGTTAGACCCTTGGAAATAGCCTAATGTTAGCTATTAAGATCTAAGTATATAATAATGTGTATTGCCTATTTTAAGTTTAAATTACTTGATAGTCTTGGAGACTATTGCAAAAGTTATTGAAATTCACCCGTTAAATCATAAATAATTCAAATTACTTGGTGAAATTTAAAAAGTTGTTATATTAATCAACAAATTAAATGAGTGGTAAATCAATTTGTGAGACATTTGTTTTTGTTTCTTTTTTGAACTACGTTATTAGAATTACCCAGACTCATGGGAATAATCTGAGAATAATAAATTATTATTTGAAACATAAAAGTGTAGAATATTGCCTCATAACTACAAATTCCAAAATTAATAGAAAATGGGGGGAAACCCCAATATGTAACCTCAACTTGTAAGTTATTAAGATACATTAAAGGAACTAATATATTTGTTTAGATGATCAGAACTCAGATATATAGCAGGGTTCTTAAAAGACAAATCGGCATAGTTGTGTGTAATACAGACAGACATATCTAGGTAACCAAAAATTATTTTTCTTATTTAACTTTAAACATGTAAGATATATTTAGAATTATATCTGTAGGAAAAAGTTTGCTGATTTAGCCATTTCTAAGACACATGTTTCCAATTAGTCCTAAGATAGTCCTAAAAAATTTGGAGAACTAATTCATTTCTCTACCATCATAAAATAGATAAAAATAAAATGGTACTCAGTAGGAAATAAGTGAAGTAGAAAGATGAATGTTCAGGTACTTATGTAATACATACAGTCAAGTATTTCACTTTCAGAAGGTAATAGCAAACTATTTAGCCTTCATTAGATAATACTCTGGGTAAATATAAGATGCATAGGTCTTTTCCTTATCACACATTTTCAAGCTATTATTAGACATAACGTATACATTATATGTGACAGAATTTACTTTTAACATTCTTCTTGATGTAGGAAAAAAGTAAACATTTTAACTTGTGTTCACTAAATCTATATATATCTGAATGTGAAAAACTGGTGGGTTTTTGTTCTTGTTATTATAGGAAGCATATGTGCCTCATTTCTTACCCAAAGTTACCAACTGCCAGTTCTTGATACAATGTTTCTAAGAAAGAAATATCGAGGTAAAGATTTTGGGCTTCAGATGCTGGAGGACTTTGTTGATTCATTTACAGAAGATGCACTTGGCTTGCGGTATCCACTGTCTTCTATCATGTACACAGGTAAATGGTCTAAGTTAAAAAATGCCAAATTTGTCTGTGTCACTTCTGACTCTTTCATGGTACTGCAATTGTATATATGTCAGTATTATGTAAATTGCAGTCAGATGTGGTAGCTCATGCCTATACTCTTAGTACTTTTTGAGGCTGAGTTAGGGGGATTCCTTGCGGCCAGGAGTTAGAGACCAGCCTGGGCAAAATAGTGAGATTCTGTTCTATAAAAAATAAAAATAATTTCAACTTTTAAAAAAATTGAGATAATTTGGAATCTTTGGCTCTGTAGGACTTAATTTTGCAAATGTGCTGTTATCTAATGTATATGGCTTTTTGGAGGTGTGGTTTAAAAAACATACAATTTACATACCATAAAATTTACACTGTTAACATGTGTAATTCAGTGGTGTTTAGTATATTCACAGTTGTGCAAGCCTAATCACTAATTCCAGAAAATTCTTACCACTCCCAAAAGAAACCCTGTTCCAGTTGGTGGTCACCATTATTCTTCATTCTCTCCTTCCTCCATCCCCTGTGAAGCATTAAGTTTCTTTCCGTCTCTGGATTTATCCATTCTAAACATACCATATAAATGAAATCCTACAACATGTGACCTCTTGTGTCTGGCTTCTTTCATTTAAATAATGTTTTCAAGGTTTATGCATCTGTCTAACAAATACATGTTAGAAAATACATGTACAAATCCATGTACTTCATTTCCTTTTATCACTGAATAATACTCCATTGTGTCGACATAATACATTTTGTTTATAATATATGTTTCGTTTCAAAGTGATACTGCCTTTTCTTTCTTGAGACAGATTCTTGTTCTCTTGTCTCAGGGAGAGTGCTATGGCATCAGCCTAGCTCACAGTAACCTCAAACTCCTAGGTTCAAGCGATCCTACTGCTTAAGCCTCCTAGTAATCGGGACTATAGGCACCTGCCGCAATGCCCAGCTAATTTTTCCTATTTTTAATAGAGATGAGGTCTTGTTGTTGCTCAGGCTGGTCTTTTTTCCTGAGTTCAAGTGATGCTCCTGCCTCAGCCTCCTAGAGTGCTGAGATTACAGGCAGGAGCCACTGCCCATCCTGATTGTATCATTTTACATTCCCATAAATGATGCATGAGGGTTATGGTTTCTTCACATCTTAGTCAACATTTGTTATCTGTATTTTTAGTTATAGCTGTCCTGGTCAATGCGAAGTAGCATCTCATTGTAGTTCTGATTTTCATTTGACGTTGTGCATCTTTTCCTGTGCTACTGGACATTCGTATGTCTCCTTTGGAGAAATGTCTATCTAGAGTCTTTGATTATTTTTTCTTTGGGTTATTTGTCTGTGGTAGCTTTTTAAATTTATAATGACTAAAAACGTTTCAAACATATAAAAAGGTATAAAGAATAAGTTAAGAAAGATTCACATACCATTCATGAAAAGTGGATTGTTACTAGTACGGTTGAACCTCCATAATTAGACTTCCTTCCTCCCTGGGGTAAGGACTATTCTCATTTTGGCACTTATTTTTCCCATGCATTTTTTTAGACTTTTGTATGTGTCCTCAAACAATGTATAGTTTTACATATTAAACATTATATAAATATGTACTATGTTGAAGTCTTTTGCACTGTCTTTTAGTTCCTCAATCTTTGTGTTTACAAGATTCATCCATGTGAATTCATATAATCCTATTCATTAAGTTTTAGTATTGTGTGGTATTCAACTGTATGAATATACCATTTGATGATGTTTTAAAAACCATTAGCGAATTTATTTTTCTATTTGCATAAAAGTCATACAGTTGCTTTTTTTCTTGATGAAGTAAGATTTAATCATAGAAAGTAATTAATTTGGCAACTTTTATAAAATATAATTTATTATTAATTTTAGCTTAACATTAGGTGTTTATTTCCACTGAAAATATATTTTTATTCTAGGTCTTCTGCTATCACGAGTTATCCAGAAAACAATATTACATGCCCATCTTGAATCATATTTTCTCTTTGGACCCATACATGAGAGTGGGATGGATATTGTAGTCCTTGGATAATCCTTAAAATGGATTCCCCTTAATTACTGCTTCACTGAATTTGGGGAGGAATGCAGAGATCCCCTGCAGACAGAATCCCTTAATATTTACTCTCTTCTGTGATTCTAACGATAAATGAATTGTATGCCTAATGAATTACAGATAAGTGTTAGCTGTCTGTCTTTGCATAAAGTCTTGGTGGTCTTGAACTCTTATTTTTCCTTCAATTTATATGGAAGTTCCCCTGACAATGTTTTATTGATATCATCTGTATGATTTTTATGAATAAAACTCTCTGAAAAGTAAATATAATTGATTATATTCAGAACAGAAATTTTAATAGTCCTATTTCAGACCATGTGGCTTCTTCATCTTTCTTTTCTGTTTCTGGCTCTTCCTGGAAGAGTACAATTAGATTTGTAGAGCTTGGATTTCTGTGTTTTCTTTTCCAACTTAATAGCTCCTTGATGTTCTATATGTCTGATGGTTCTTTGAGGATCTTCACTTGTTTTCAATCATATTTTTGAAGATCTTAGGAAAGATTATAGTGTTGTACTTTGCATGCTTTAAAAAATAATTTATTTCACAAATAGGTAATAAGTGCCCAGTATGGATAGGTTTGGTAAATAGGTAGGTAGGTAGGCTAGAGTAAGATAATCAGCTAAAAATAGGAAGTTGTTTACACAGTAAACAATACTGTCTCTACAATGTTACTGTTTCTAAGTATACTGCATAGCATGTATACCTAGAAACGGGAATAGTCAATGTTCTTTATAACTTAGTTCTAGTGTAATTCTGTACAGGAAACTATTCCTGCCCCCAAACAGGGTCCCTGACTTTTTACCAGTTAAACCAAATTTTTCATAAAGGCTTGCTGAGATTATTTAAATTTTACCTTGAGTGATGCAGTACAAATTGGAATATGTGTCAACAGAAAATGGGGACACTTTACATGAATTTGAGGGACAGTAGTACTAAAATGTTTTTTTTTTTTTTTTTTTTTTGAGACAGAGCCTCAAGCTGTCCCCCTGGGCAGAGTGCCGTGGCATTACAGCTCACAGCAACCTC